ACCAGTGTTATTGACCCAAATGAAGTTGATGAACAACCTTGATAAGCTGGACATGTACCCAAAGATGCTTGCCATACATGCATGCATGCCCTGTGGTACTTATCTAAGTTTTACTTATTGGTTTTTCGAAACGAAATTTAATTAGAACAGAAAACCACAGGTGTACCCAAACTTGAAATAAAAAAATGCCAAGTTGAGCCACAAAATGCAAGAAGCTTCATTCTTGTACTGGTATGCAGTGGTCGTTACTTGAAATTTGTGACTTGCCCACAGAATATTACTCAGCCAAAACGAAAATTATTAGAGCTTAAACCTGCGAAGATCCATAATTTTTGATGCAGAATCGCTTCAAATTGGCATACTTGAGAAAATTGAAAGATTTGGCACTCGTGAATGGTAACCCACTGTGCTTGTATTCGCATAACTCCTCAATAAAACTAAACTTTATTAATTTCTTATGAAACTCATGGTCCTTTTTGCTATCTCCCCAGATTTTAATTACCTAGCAAACAAAATGGAAACAAAACACCTGTCTAGAAAAGAAGAAACGTATTTTGGGTCACTTGAGCTGTAAAACAGATTAACTCAGCTGCTGTGTCCTGTGCAGAATTAAAATTGGACAGCCTTCATTCAGACCCAGTGCAGGAGAGAGATAGTGATAAAGTATTGATTGAATGGCCAGTCCAAGTGGTCACTTTTTCATCACGTCCATTCAGGGGCCAGATCCTCTCGATCACCTCTGAGGGCACCTTGCATCCGATTGTGACGTCAGTCCCGGTTTTCGGTTTCTGAAGAACGCTTCCAGCAGGGGATGTAGCATTATGTCCATATTCTCTCGGTTGACGTTTGCGAGAAACTAATATTTCACCACGGCTAGAGTGGGCTTTGTTGAGGGTCGCATTTCAGCAGGGGTTTTGCCACATGTACGGTATTGTGCACGTTGCTAAAAATTTCTCACAATGAGATGACTTTGCAAATGGCATCAAACACGTACAGGATACACATTGTTTGGCATTTTGCTTACTTGAAGAGTGGAAATTCAACGCATTGATTTTTATCAGTTTCATATTCCCTTTCTGCGTCTTTGAATTGATTTAAGTCACTTACATTTTGTTTGTAGTTTCGTCTTCCTGAAATGATTTATCTTCTTTCCCAAGAGCCTTAAATTTAGACTCTAAAATAGATTGGTTTGTACTCTTCACACGCAAATGTTCATTTTCTGCCATCCTATAAATGAATTCGCCCCTTGTACCGGAATGTGTCAGTTACGTGTACGTGTACAAGCACTTTCTGAAAATGACTGTTCACTAGAAGAATGGTCAAGAATTTGCCTTTGATTAGTGTGCAGGTCCCATACATACAGGAGATCAGTACGTTACTCATCCTTATGCAGTATGTGTTGTCTTTGTATAAGTGAGGAAAGGCATCCCGAGTGAGAAAAACACAACCCCTTGGTCATACATGAACAGGTATTTGATTGTGTGTAGGTTCCAGAAGACACGGCATGTAAAGTAAAACTGGATTGTTAATTGACACTCCTCCCAAATGTACACTGTCTCCTATACCTTTGCTTTACAAAAATTTCTGGCCTTATAAATAATAGGAACATGTAGTTTTCATCTTCAATATTAAGTTAGTGAAAATCTATTAACAGCTGATGGTCATTTATCAAGCTGGAACCTCATGCCTGTGGCGTGAAGTGCACCAGGACCTTGGGAAAATTTTCCACTCACCCCACATGTGCGTTGCGGGAATTGTTCGAGGAATGCTTGGGTATACCCCATTGCGTAACCAAATCAACGTTGCAGTATAGCCACATTCAAATCAAAGAACAAGTAGGAAGTTAGACAGTGGATCTCTTACAATTTTTTGCTTGCTGAAAGTGAATTGTAAACAGAAGATTTGAACACTTTTACACACGTTATTGCATCTGTTTAACATTTAAACTGTACTATTTACAATGCACATGTACATGTACAGGTACATGTACATTGGAGATGTTTTAGTACACTGTACCTGTATCTGTTAATGTAAACATTTTTCAATGACTTGCTCATACCTGTGTTGTTTACCATGTTGGTTGTGTTTGATGTTTGTTTTCAATACATTGTAGGCAAGGCAATTTACTTGCCACTAGTACCTCTGCTACACATGTGAGCATGATGTTGGCTTAATGTGAGAAAAAATTTTCAAACAGGGTGTGACATGTTTTGCTATTTGCTTGCTAAATGTTTCTCAACTCATAGATTCTTCCTGCTGTACACGTAAAGAACATAATGGTTCATTATTTATTTATGTATATTATAAATCCATACACTGGTGTGGAAAAATTACTAACGGCCTCATGGCTACAGTCATGCATTCATGCATGTGTTTTCTTGAAAGTGTACTGGTGCTCAATTTTTTAAAACCATAACCCCCGCCATATCACTCAGTACTACAAAATACTACACAGTGTCAGTAGTCTGAGCCTGTAGCTCTACAAGTTAGTGTTTCTGGTTAGGGCACTTCCATTGTTACTCGTGCAGAGAACAACATAGTCATGTACCCATAGTGCCACAGCACTGTATGGTACATTGTCTTAGTAATTGTATTTTATAGCTTTAGAGAACAATAAAGTCATGCGTACAGTGCTCATACAAGCCACAGCACTGTATACTACATTTTGTAGCTTTTAGTAAGGTTAGGGTTAAAGAGTGACAGGTACATGTACGTGGTAGTTTATAAAATGAAAACTGTTACCCGAACAGTGAAACGTCCATTGGAATGAGTCAGACAGTTCTATGTGAAGTGGTACACGTACCAGTATCTAAGTATGCCGTTACATCTTGGCTCTCTTGAGGTACGGTATAGGTTTCAGGATAGACCTCACCCAAATCAAGGACCATAAATTTCTTTGCAGTCTCAATACACCCTTCAGAAAACCAGATCGGGTACATGCTTGCAGCATGTGTGTGTTCTTGCATATCGGTAGTTGCTGCTCGGAGTAATCCACTCACCACACATAATTTTGCCCTATGAAATAGCGGACAAATGGTCCGTTTTTTTCCCCCTCTCTCTCTCCCGGATTTAGCAGTTTTATTTTATCCCCTTGGTCCTTTCTTGTGATCCTCTCTGGAGGCATTCAGCACACTGTAAAATGATAAGAGACCGTTGATTAGCCTCGGCCCACAAGTCTGTCAGACGGCCAGGCAGCCCGGAAAAGGAACAAGCTGTTTAAACCATCATGCTGTCTAGCCACAAGACCCTTGGCTTAAACAAGGAAAAAAAAAGCAAAAACACCAAAATTAAAGATACCTGCACCATATGAAATTTCTTCCTGAAGGGGAACAAATGAATACACCGTGAAATGATTTTTTTCCCCTCCAATTTTGTTTTGACGTTTGGCACTTCATTGGTTTGAACCAATTTGGGATGAATTGTGTATGCATTACATGTCCTCGTCAGGCACCTGAATTTACGCGCCGTCCCGGAAATAACAAAACTTGAGCTTGTCATGCATGGTACTTGTAGCACCAATACCTGTTCATTTATGCTACCAAGGTTGAAGTGAATGCCGCCCCCCCCAGTAAAGCACCACCCTGGATGAAAATGAAAATGAAAATAAAAGTGCTCACCTGTTCCTCTCAAGGTTGTTGCATGTACAGTATGCAAGTAAACTTCTTGCCACATATCCGTGTCTATTGTACTCTTAAGAGATGTAGTAGTTACCAGTACTTTGTACTGAAAACCCAAGCAAACTTTTGTAGATCTCTTAACAAGTCTACAAACGCCAGAGCCTTTATTCGTATTCGCATGCGAAATCGTCTGTCCCAAAACATGCCGTGATAGTTTGAACTAAAGGCCCCTGGGGAAAAAAAATCTAATTAGGAGTTTCATGCCTACATGGTGCCTGCTGTTGTCATGATCATGTGCTTGTCATTTTGTTCAGTATTCTAAGAATTAATGGACAGTGAGTGCATACATGTACGTGTGGCTCATTGCTTAGTTTTAATGCCAGATGTTCTCCACAGTGCAAGCAGACGAGGATAGGTTGTAAACGTTGTTGGCGCGGTTGTACATAGTTCACTCAAGCGTCGCTCCGTTGCTCCGTAGTCGCACTTTAAAAACCGTGTTTCAAAAGAACCCACTCTCCCTCTTGCTATTGGTGAAATATATTGTAATTAATTGCCTCACCCGAGTGCTTTATGGACTTAATGTTTAATTTGTTGGCTCCTTTGCCACACTCTAGGTTGCCATATTGTGCTAGGGAGTGTGTGCCTCTTGTATCAGTTCAGAGTCCGGTTGTGGCAATGATAGTAAAGTCTGTCATAACTCCCCCGTCCCATTTTCTCGTTTTGGGTATTGAGAGACACTCGAGCAGGAATCTAGTGAATGAGTTGATATAATTTTTTCCCTTTTTCCCACGTTGCAAGAGTGGATAAGGGCAGGAACAGGGAGCCTTGAACTTCTTATTAAGTTATTCTTCATAATTTGCATGCTTGATGTTGGGTTTAAAAAATTGAAACTCTGGAAAGACTTTCTCAGTCCCCTTTGTTATAGGACCTTGTGTGAGTTGAAGCTAGCAGCAATAAAATGCGATTGAGAAACAAGCTGAAGCAACCACACACATGTGTTTGAAAAACAGACCTACGTGAACACATGAAGTCCATGTATACACATGATCTAGAACATACATGTACACCAGTTTGGGAATTCCCAATTGTGGTACGTGTACATGTAGTTCCTACTTTTCGTATGTCACAACCTTTTGAATGCAAGATTTAATTAATGAAGTCTACAAGGACCCCTTATCCTTTGGTTGTCTGGTTTTTCCTTCTATCACCGCACCACCTGAAGTTTATAACTGGACACAAATGTTTACAGCTTGCAATTTGGCGTGCCCGGTTTGGCTGAAACCGAGATTGCAACAGAAAGTGCGTTCATTCCCGCATGTACTTATGTACTTATCACACAGTTGGTTTGGTGATCTTTTAGCACTGTTTCTCTTGCATTTGCAGGCCCCATTTGTGACGCCGGAGGACTGGCCCTATAAGAGCCGAGGTAGCGGGGCAGCTGAGGGCAAGGTGAGCTATCCATCTTTGTTTGGAGAGTTGTTCATTAACTCAGTTCTCTGTCTTTACTTGAAAAGTTGCTGGATTTTGATGAAGGGAGGCTCTGAGCAAAAATAGCCTCAGAGCATGAAGTTCATTGTTTATTTCGTCCCTCTCCCCTTTTTTTGTGCTTGGAGACTGATTTAAAGAGCATTAAAGAGCATTAAAGAGCATGGAAGGCTCAAAGCACAAGAGTTTGTGAAGGAGGGAGAAGTTTTGTTTTGCAAAAGCAGGGCACCAGCTAATGTCGTCCATTGTCTTGTTGCGAGGCATGGTGTTGCCAGTTGTGTGCGTGTTGCATTGTTGCTGGAAACTGATTCTGTGTTGGTTGTTTGCTGAGCAGTATCTTTTACCCTGTGAAAATATGATGTAGGTGCTGGTTATTTCCTGTTGCTCCATTTTCCTCTCATTCGATGACCAGATTTGTCTGTTACTGCATGCAGCAGATGACTGTGCCTCTTGGAGGCATAAACTGACCCTGCTCACTTCCTCATTTTAATAGACAAAGGGCGGCTTCACATAATGCCGCTGTCCTTCAGTCAAAGGAGCTGATACTTGGTCAGAGCCGTTGCGTGTGGCATCTTTCATTGCCTCATAAAGGTCTGGGCATCCATCACTCTGTCGACCCAAGTCTTGCATCTCCCTCTCACCCCCTGTATTATTCATGACATTAATTTCACCACCGTCTTCTAATTTGCCCGTCGACCCATCCATCTCTCTTTTATTAATCCTTTGGTGGGAAAGAGCCACTCTAAAATTGGAAAAGAATTACCCTTTTTCTTAATACAAAGTGTGTGATTGGTTACTCAAGACTCCTTTCTATTCTAATCCTGAGTGATTAATAATGAAATGAGATGAGGCCTTGTACAGAGCCATGTCCCAGCAGACAGGCTTAATAATGAACACTACCTGTTTATGTACATGTACATGCGCATGCATGTACTGTACATGCATGTACCTTTGCTCTTTGGAGGTACACATGTGCTAACATCTTTTCCTTCCTAGCCCCATGGACCTTCATGAAATTTGACAAACCTGTGTAGGCTTGTTTTCGAGTGACCAGTATTTTTATGAAGAGTCAATGTTTCCGTGCGAGTAGATTGCAGTGTGACCTTCTGTCTTTGGATATGGTAGTTAAGCTCTGCTAATTTGCCCACCGCAGGCTTTTCCAGTGACTATGCATGGGCTCATGAGAAGGGGGTAAAATGGAACCCACAACTAGTTCTGCTTTATTTCCTTTCCTGCAGCACAGAGGTTACCAGTCAAAAATATAATCTTAGGCTGTGTCCAAAATGGGCTTCCAGAGCTTTGGCTAGGTCTATTATCTGCGCGTCTCCTTGCATTTCCAATGGTGCTAAGACCTAGACCTAGCTCTAGACAAGAGATTCGGATGCAGTCTTAGCTCCCTGTGCACCACTTGTGGCTGTTCCCCTACTGATTCTCCTCCTCTTTCCAATGCACTTAGTGCACACATTTTCTAAGATCTGCCAGGCTGGGGCCAATTTCATAGCACTGCTTAAGCAAAAAATTTGTTTAAGCATGAACAAATCTTGCTTGACAAATCAGGTTACCAGCCAAAACTTCTGGTGATGTATGTTATTTTGAAATGGTATTTACCTGTCTTTTGGTTAGCATGACAATCACAGAGAGTTTGAGCTGGGAACTGTTTATTAAGAGACGTTCTCGTGCTTAGGTAAATTCTGTGCTTAAGCAGCTCTATGAAATTGGTCCATGATGTACGGTACCTGTTAAGTTTCTGCTTTAGCTGAGCTCCATGAAATTAGAGTTAGATGCCTTCTGCATGCTCTACCGAACTGTGTCAGATCAGAGGGCTTGACGGCAAGTTTGATCAAGTGGCAAAAACAAAGCGTGCATGGCAGAAAGCATGTTTCAATTGTGACCTGCTGGCTGCCAAGTTTTCCCAGTGCAAGACTGTTCATACTCATTTGGCATAACATTTGCATACAGAGTGGATGCACTTGAAGGTCAGTTATTAATTGTGCACTGACCAGTGTAATTGATTCCACCATCAAGAGGTGGAGGTTATCAACAAATTAAGAAGAATCAACATGATCTGTCAAGTGCTTATGCTATGAATACATGTACAGAGTTCAGAGGAACCCCTGCACCTGCCTGCATATAAACATGAACCCAAGCGTACATGTACATGTATGCATCAGTGCACCTACATGTACAGTACATGTTGGGTACATATGTATGTAGAGTATGCACATTTACACATGTACAGTTCTGTACTTCAGTACACACCACAGGTTTTTTCCTTTTAATAGGCGAACATTTCCAAAGTTGGCCAAAAATTCTACAGGTAATTTACTTGTCCGCACTGTCATTTCATGTCACACCAATTTGGACATGATGAAATTTCCAAATTTACAACCTCAACTTTAGCTGGCCAATTTCCCTTTTTTTCTACTTTTGAATAATCAGAAATACGGAAAATGTGAATACCTTTTCCCTTTGGTTTTCTTTTTTGTCTGCCACTTTGCATGTCTGCTTGAGCCTGTGCACGTCTTGAATATGCACAGAGGAAGGAGTGTGCTTTTAATGTACATGTACATGTATCTAGCATTTCAACTACTCAATGAATTTTGCACTATTGGGGGGAGGAGTTGGAAACAGATGTTCGCAACATCTACCCGGTACCAACTCTGGGAAGCCATAAAAGGACCTGACTTTGTGCACGAGTTGTTTAACATTAACAACAACCAAAACTGGGATGATCATTTGTTTAAGTACACCATACAGCTTAGTTGAGTAGAAAGGCCTCTGCCCCTCGTTTAATGTACCAGTATCAAAAAAGGATCAAAAATAGATTTTTGTTTATGGGTGTTTGGAATATGGAATGGAACTACCTGTAGGCCTAGATAACGATTCCAATGCTTTCATGTGTTCACTGTTTTTTATAGTGCTCTGAAGTTAGAAATCCATTTCTTGAAATTTCCCAGCTTTGTTTCTGAATGCTTTTTTGAACTGATGTGTTGTTTTCTCGGAATTCAGTTCACAGATTTCAATGTGAATTGTAAAGTGTCCTTTGTCCACTGCACCTATCTCCTTAAATCCGACAGTGGCGAGTCTTTGTCAGTTTTTGTGTGCGTGCATTATATTTTGATGCCATAAAAACAGGCATAGGTAATTCTGAATTAATTTAAAGCAATTTTGTTCTGTTTTAATACACAGTAAGACAATACTGGTACCCCCAAAAGTGTAATTAATGACATTAAAAATACAACTACAAGGTGAAGCTGACATTTTAATGGACAATGTAATAAGCAGCACAAAGTAAAAAATGGAATAAAGTGTTTTCTCAGTTAAGTAGATTTTTCATCGTCAAGATCTGAGACTTGTCCCTTGAAGCCTTTTGTGGTGTCTCGTTATATAAAGTAGACCTTTTGTTACCCACGTCATTTTACCAACAAGGGTATATGGCACCTCCATGACACTCTAAGACAGCTGAGTCCGTCCGTTAAATCATTCATTGCTGAAGTATGCCTGTGGTGAATCCAAAATGCCGAGCCTGTGCCGCGCACGTTGGGTTCCGTCTCGTTACATGATCTGCTTTTGCAGACTAAACTTCCCAGGAAAAACACACCAACCGCACGGCATGCCTTCATGAAGCCCTTCGGGGTCAATTTCGCAAAAGCAATTTTGTTTTCCTGCCAAATAAAAAAGGCTGGGTTGAAACAAACAAAAAGAAACCCCAGTGCACTTTTTAGCACGTTTGCAAAGCTTTCACTCATACACATGTAAATCATGGAAGGATATATCCCAGCAATATTGCATCTATAAATTGTATGTCACTGATACATGTACACCGTAAAGTTTACTTTCATCGTAACATAATTTCCATCAATGTAATTGCCATTAGACTGATTTGTCAAATATTACATAAATTTGTAGCGGAGACCCCCATGATACAATTTCCCTCCTCAGGATATCTGAAAATACTGCTTACTCAGTACAGATTTGGCCTGTTATCAACTCTGATTTGGTGTAAGTTGATCTATTTTTCTTGTCTGGAGAATACTGATCTGGCATGGCTACTGCAGAGTGATGTAACTCAGCCAAGCCTAACGAATACATATCAAACATAAATTGAAAAGGAAAAAGAAAAAAAGGAGGCTGATGAAACTCAGGTGCAGTCGATCTTCTTGATAAAATAATGACCACTATTTGTGGCTCTCCAAAATTTGAATTTGTCACGGATCTCCCTCACGGTCGCTCAGCTTCCCCTGCATCGCTGCTGGATCTCCGCAGACCCAATTATGTCATCTGCATTACTGTCAGTAGAACGGAACTATCTGGACAGCATTATCAGGGAAACGTGGAGCTAGCCCCGAGCAAACAGGCACTGTCGCTACGAACAGTGAAAGAAAAAAAAAAAAAATTGTCATCCATGCTACACTGGCTGCTTGATTGGTTATATTGTGCTCTATGATTGTGAAGCAGTTTGAAGGCAAATGGCTTAGTTATGATAAGAGAAGCTATAGATAAACATGGCCCAGGCCTTCAGACGAAGCTTTTTGGCATAGAATATATACATGTATGTGTGGTACATTACAACTTGTTCATACATGTATACGCATGTGCTGCATGTTGGTAGGCTAGCTACTGGTACATGTACCAGTACATGCAAGTAAGCAATTTATTAGTTGAACAACTTGTCAGTATGAAAGTGCTTTACCAAGCATACTTTATAATTGTAGCTACTGGGCATCAAGAAAACTATTGAGTAAACTTCTCCTTGTTTATTGCTTCCCACAGGAGATTCTCATTTGACAGTTGACTCCATTGGGTTCTCTAAGCATAAGCATTGTGAATATTTTTTTCAAGCTTACCCATGTATGGATTCTGTACTTGTAGGATGTACTAGTACATGTAGTCCTCATACAGTTAGCCTTCCTAATCTATTATAACAGTCAGGACAAAGTTCCTGAACAGCCTGTTCATGTCTG